TCCGACTTAATTTTTGTAATTCCAAAATATTTCCTTTAATTCCAATTTAATTTTGATAGTAAGCAGTTTAAATTTAAAAATCATTAAAACAATATTGCATAAAATATTACAAAAATATCACAAAGATCCATTTGCCGAAGGTATTAATGAAATTATGAAGAGAAATATTTCTCCCTCTACGAAAAAACTATTCAATTGGTCTACAACATGCTTTAGTGAAATAAAGAATTAGACATGTAAAAAAGAATAAAAAAATCTGCAAAGTCCATATTGAATTCGGTTGGAAAAAGAAAAAAGAAAAAAATGCTGGCAATTGCTTTAAATAAAAGACGAAAGTGGAAAATGAAAAGAAAAAAAGATGATTGAGATACGAAAAAAAAACAAAATCGAAGAAAAAGAAAAAAATTGAAAGCGTCAACAAACAAAAAAAGCTAACAAAAGAAGATGAAAAATATATAAAGCAATAGAGAGAAAAAAGATCTATTGAAAATATAAGTCTTTAGTCGAAAACTAGATATAAATCTAAGTTCAAAAAAACATGATCAAAATAAATCGCGGCTTAAAATTTTCTAAAATAGGAAATCAGATAACCGAGAAAATATTATTTTACCAACTGAAACTCTGAGAATATTCTAACAAACCAATTTCGACAAATTAATGTAAAAATAATTAAAATGGTATTGCATAAAATATCACAAAAATTCAGAAAAATAATGCTGATCAAAGATTTTGATGAAAATATAAAAAAATACGAAAAACCGTTCGATTGGTCTACAAAAGACCCTTCAACAAAATAAAGAATTAGAAATGTAAAAAAACAGGTAAAGTCCGAATTGGATTCGATTGGAAGAAGAAAATAGTAAAGCTGGAAATTACTTTAAATAAAAGACAGAAGTGAAAAAAGCTAGGAAAATGAAGGGATAAAAGAAGAGAAAGAAAAATTTGACTAAGAAAATAGAAAGAACGGTTGTTAAAAAAAACAAATTGTATTCATTCACATTTTCGTTGATTGTAAGTCAATAAACAAACATAAAATTAAATTAAAAAAAATATTAAAATTACAGTGAAAGTAGTCTCCAAAATTACATAATCAAAAAAATACATCGAATTTCAAATTCAAATTGAAAAAAACAAATAAAAAAACGTCAACAAACAAAAACGAGCTAAAAAAAAGATGAAAGAAAAGAAAAAATGTTGGAGAAAAAAATTAATAGAATTGAAAATAAAAGTGGAAATATTTAGAGGGAAAATAGACTTTTCTGTAAATTTGGAACGCCCCTGATTTCTATCCGAATTTGTTTTTTTTATATAAATCAGCAAACGTGTTTGAAAAAAATGGCATTCAGTATCCCAACTCTAAGATGCGTTCACTCACAATTTTTGAGCGAAGTGGTCTATGACTCTGTAATTACGTTGGCAACATTGAAGTTACCAACCTAATTTAAGAATCATAGGGCACTTTGATCAGAAATTTCTCTAACAATGTCTAACGTGTATCATTCCTAGTTGCTCCAAATGGTGACCACGTGATTAGTTTGATCGACGAAATTTCTTATATGGCCCCACCTGCACCTCTCATATCCCAATATGACGATATAGATCCCCAACAATTCTGTAACGGTGATAACAGACCGGCCGATTGCCAACAAAACTGTATGTGCACCCATAAAGTCGATATCCCACTCAACGCCATAGTGGAAATCGTGCTTGTTGACGAAGGTGAGACATATACAGAGTGCCCCAGAACTCGCGTCCCAGAGAAAATGCCATATAAGGTCAGAGACCAGGAACATGGAAAAAATCTAACTATAAAAATTTCGAAGTTATGAGAGTTTACATTTTGCACTTTGACTCTATTTATTTCTGTTGGAAAAGTAATTTTCCAAGTTTTTTTGCTACAGGCTATTAGAAGAGGAAACAAGGAAGCTGTATCCTAAATTATAACTCTGTTTAATGCTATTTGTGGCTTTTATTGGTAAAATTTTTGTATCATTACTAAATAATTATAAAAAAAACATACAAAATTATCAGTATCATTAAATAGACATAAAAAATGTCAAATGTCAAAATAAATGTCAATTAATTGTTTTGACAGAATCTTTTAAACATTTTTTCCATGTTCCTGGTATCTAATCTTATTTGAAATTTTTCTCTAGGGCGCAAGTTCTGACACACGCTGTAAAAGAAAAAAAAAATTTTTAACACTTGTCTTGCAGTACAACAACCAAACTTGAGCCATCCGTTCCATTTGCACGGCTACGCTTTCAACGTGATCGGTATCGGACGATCCCCTGACCAAAACGTGAAGAAAATCAATTTGAAACACGCACTAGATTTAGACAGACAAGGCCTTCTGCACCGTCAATTCAATCTTCCTCCAGCTAAAGACACGATCGCTGTGCCAAACAACGGATACGTGGTGTTGCGACTTCGGGCAAACAACCCCGGCTTTTGGCTATTCCATTGCCACTTTTTGTTCCACATTGTGATAGGAATGAATCTAGTTTTGCAAGTTGGCACACACGCAGATCTGCCGCCTGTTCCTCCCAACTTCCCCACATGTGGAGATCACGTGCCAGAAATTAATGCAGATCCTAATCTCGTTTAAGTTATAGTAAGTTCGGCAAAGAGATTTGGCCCAAGTCAAGTCGCTTTGAAACGGACTACAATCTAAGTTACCTTCACCAAATTTTTTGTTTTGCTGTGAAAATTTATTATTTTCGATCTTGCCATTCCAAAAATTTTCAATCTAGTGTTACTCAGTTTGTATAATTTATATTATTTATCTACAAATGGTTTTTATTCGCCATAATTAATTTAGGTAAGTATAAGTAGCATTCCAACCTCTTCCGATACTTCTTTTAGAAATTACAATAGGTGCTGTATATATTGGCCAAATGGCGTCTGTAGACTTTTAGTGTAAATACAATATTGACGCTTACGATTGCAAATTCATGTCTCTTAGTTACCAATCTACCAAATTTGCAATTTGAAGCGAGTCTACCTACTTATAATAATCAGTATTTGATGCTAGAGTTCTTTATTTTTTTATAAAAGTGGAAAATTTTGTGAATTTTAGGTAATAATCTAACCCAGAATTTGAATAATGTACAGATTTCGTTTAATGGTGTCACACTAACCCCAGTTATTTAAGATTGTACTAGTCTTCCACAGTCTTTAATAACTACTACAGAGTTACTGTTATTTTTATAAAATATGTATTATAAAAAAGTTCAATAAAAAATGTTAATCAATTATTTGGTGGTTGCTCGTATTTGTACAGTTTTGCTTTTGTGGGGAGGGGGGAATGTGTACATAGAATTAGCACCTCTATGTATATACAACATTGTACATAATTGTATATAGGACCTGGTAGGTATTAGAATAAGTAGTCTCATAACATAAATTTCACGTCCTAACTTTATGCAGGTTTTAAATCCACTTGACGCCATCTGTAACAAGCCCAGAAAGGATGCTGTCTGTGTAAGTCAGTTAAGAAATGCAAAGAAAGTCGATGAAGCAATTTTAGAAGAACGACCAGATGTTAAAATATTCTTGCCTTTCCGTTTCTTATTCTATAAACCAGAAGAAATTTTCCGACCCAACACTTACAATAGATTCTTAGGTACGTTAACTTGGTCAATGAAACGGTAAGTTTTCTAGAAAATGTTTTGAAACTTGTACTTATTTTGTAAACCAATTAAAATTCTGAACAAAGTTGGTAACAATGACTAAGGTAGAAGATTTGAGAAAACCAGGCGATTTTTGGAGTTTATTTAATACAAAAAATTTAAAACTTTAAAACCGAATCAAGGGCGTTTTTTCATATTTCTAAGTTCTGGTCCTGGAGGCCACGAAAAATCGATTACGTTCCTGGGTCGGGTTTGAAAAAAAAAGGACTTTTTCGCGTTTTTGACTACAAAAAAGTAGTAAAAGTGATCGTTTTCATACTTTTTTTAAATAAAAAGCATCTCATGAAAATAAAACAAAGATTTCACCAACGGGTTAATATTTTTATCCAGGGTGCGCCAGAACTCGCGCCCCAGAGAAAAATGCCATATAAAGTAAGAACATGGAAAAAATGTTAAAAACTTTGAAGTCATGAGAGTTTAAATTTTGCACTTTGATTCTACTTATTTCTATTTATAATTTTCCAATTTTTTTTGCTACAGGCTATTATAGGAAGAAACAAGGAAGCTCTATTCTAAATTGTAACTCTGTTCAATGTTATTAGTGGCTTTTATTGGCAAAATTTTTGTACCTTTACTAAATAATTGTAAAAAAAACATATAGAAGATCATCAGTATCATTAAATGGACAAAAAAATGTCAAATGTCAAAAAATAAATTTAAAATTTTTTGACAGAGAATTAAAAAAAAAAATTTTCATGTTCCTGGTATCTTATCTTACTAGAAATTTTTCTCTGGGACGCGAGATCTGGCGCAGCCTGTATATTAAAATGCTTAATTTGGGCGCTCTCCAATTTTGAAAAATTGTGGAAATTTTTGAATCGGATCAAATGACGTTTTTTGTACCCCTTTGGAGGTCCTAGGGCCCAAGTTAACTGAATAAAAGTTGGCGGTCAAATTTCAAGAAAAATTATTCTTTTCGTATTTTTCACCATTAAAAAAATTGTAAAATTAATGGAGAAATTTTTGATTGCAAAAATTCCCAAATATAGTTTGTTAGAGATAAATTGCAGATGGACCGCCTACTCTACCAATGACTAGTTTTCGAAAAGTTTGAGTTGAAATTTATAAATTTATTCGATAATAAAAACGATGTTCGAGTTATACAGGCTGCGCCAGAACTCGCGCCCCAGAGAAAAATGCCATGTAAGGTAAGACACCAGGAACCTGGAAAAAATGTTAAAAAAAATTCTATCTAAAAAAATTTCGAAGTTATGAGAGTTTAAATTTTGCTCCCTGACTCTATTTATTCCTGTTAGAAAAATAATTTTCTAAGTTTTTTTGCTATAGGCCATTAAAAGAGAATACAAGAAAGCTGGATCCTAAATTGTAACTCTGTTTAATGTTATTTGTGGTTTTTATTGGTAAAATTTTTGTACTTTTACTAAGTAATTATAAAAAAACATATACAAGATTATCAGTATCATTAAATGTTTAAATGTACATAAAAAATGTCAAATGTCATAAAAGTATGTGTCAAAATTTTTTGACAGATAGAATTATTAAACATTTTTTTTAATGTTCCTGGTATCTTATCTTACTTGAATTTTTTCTCTGGGGCGCGAGTTCTGGCGCACCTGTATATGATTGTATTATTTCCAAAAGCTCTTAATAAATACAAATAAAAAAATTAATAAATAAAAAAAAATTCATCTGACATGAGAGCAAGAAAATTAATCTCTTCAATGACAACAGAAAGGGAAATTTTATCATTCAATGACAGCTGAAAGAGAAAGAAGTTTTATCGCATAAGATGCTTATGATTGGATGACATATTTGTGGAAATTGTAAATTTGACATGTACTGGAAATAATCTGCAAAATACACCTCGTGGGTGCCAAAATTATGACAATTTGGTATGCACTCGGGATAATACTATTTAAAATTTTGAGAAAAGCAGAAAAATTAAACTAAATGAAGTTTTTTGCAATCCTATGTTTTCAAGACGATGTAAAATGCATCAAAATACAAAAAAATTAATATGGTTTTTGTAAAGGTCGATTTTAGAAGTTTTTTGAAAAAAAGAATAAAAAAAACAGAGAATTAGTATTTAATACTAATAGCAGATAATAAATCAGAAGTTTGAAAAAAACAGTTTTTTCGTAACAAGCCTCAAATTTTCTTTCTACATACTTCAGTGTTGCCAACTAAATTTCAAAGTCATAGAGCCCTTTGATTAGGAACGCTGTTATATTTTTAGCCGCAACTGGTGGCGACCATGTGATCAGTTTAATCGACGAAATTTCTTTCACATTCCCTCCATCGCCGCCACTTTCTCAAATCCACGACATACCTCCCGAGCAGTTTTGTAATGGTGACAATCGGCCGCCTGATTGTGGTCAAAACTGCATGTGCACTCACCAAGTCGACATTCCATTAAATGCGATCGTGGAAGTGGTTTTAGTAGATGAAGTACAATCTCCAAATCTAAGCCATCCGTTCCACTTGCACGGTTACGCTTTTAACGTGGTTGGAATTGGCAGATCGCCTGACCAGAATGTGAAAAAGATCAACTTGAAGCATGCTCTCGACTTGGACAGAAGAGGTCTCCTACATAGGCAATTCAATTTGCCGCCGTCGAAAGACACCATTGCTGTGCCGAACAACGGTTATGTTATATTCAGATTCAGAGCAGACAATCCAGGTCAGTGTTTGAAGGTTTTTTTTTCAGGATTTTGTTCATTTTTGTGTTTTTACAGGGTACTGGTTGTTCCACTGCCACTTTTTGTTCCACATAGTCATCGGAATGAATTTAATCATTCATGTGGGAACGCAAGGTGATCTACCGCCAGTTCCGCACAATTTTCCGCGATGTGGGAATCATCTGCCACCTATATCATTACATTAACAGTGATATTAAGTGCTATTTAGATAAAGAAACTTTATACAATTTAATCAAAGTTCGTATGTGTGTTATTAAATAGATCTGTTAACCACGGTTGTTAAAAAATTATATTTACGTTTTTATTTAATTTTATTTATTTTGTACACGATTCTAAAGTTTGTTTTTGATTTCATTATTCACTACACTACTATGCCATTTGAACAAAATTGAAGTTTTTCTGAGATCTATTGTACTAGTCGATTAGTACTCATTAATAGATGTGTGAAAATGCATGTGTGTTATACCTAAGACTTAATTAACAAAAGTTGTGAGAGTTATTATTACTCTAATAGTTCTTAACGATCTTATGCTGTGTAAGTATTGTACAATGTGATGTGAAGGAAACAAACTTTCATCAAAATAAACACTTGTTTTTTTTCCACCCGACAAAACCAAATAAAATAGCTAGTGTAATTTTTCTAAAAATTATGATTGCCTTCTCCATTTAATCTAAAACACAATTAATTCCTATTCATAATTTAATAAATACTTACGGTTGCACTCAAAAATCACAAATTCTCACACTTCACTTTGCAAAAATAAATAAAAAAAAATTAAATGCACTAACCTTTATGACATCTTCTTCTGCTACCCTTTGTAGCAATTCGCTTCTGCTTCTTACACGGACCTACTGAAAAGAAAGAAACATAAAATCAGTACAACGTGATAATAAATTAGTTGAAAATATTTAACAAAATTTTAAAAAGTGTAAGTTTTCTAAAAAATTACAAGTTGTTGTTCACTTACCCTTTAATCCGGACCCTTGTAGCACGATTGTCTTCTCCATTTCCCCATTGGCACTCATTAATCACTCGAAATTTTAAAAATCGCGCACTACTACTTGTCTATTAGCACTCGAAAAAACACAACACGCACTGGTCATTGGAGTTTCTGAAGCAAAACAAAGAATTAACCATTTATTCCAGAAAAAAATTAAATTCGTACCTACAATACGTAGTGTGATATTCCGCTTATGTTTCTTGAATAGACAAAAAAGTTTTTGTTAAAATTATTATTGAAGTAAATTTTCACTCGTCTTCTACAAATTTTGAAAAAGAATTTTAGAAATAACATATTTCATCTAAAACACAATTAATTCCTATTCATAATTTAATAAATACTTACGGTTGCACTCAAAAATCACAAATTTTGACACATCACTTTGCAATAAACAAATTTTAAAAAAATGCACTAACCTTTATGGCATCTTCTTCTGCTACCCTTTGTAGCAATTTGCCTCTGCTTCTTACACGGACCTACTGAAAATAACGAAACATAAAATCAGTACAACATGTTATTAAATTAGTTAAAAATATGAAATACAAGTTTTAGTAAATGTGTTTTTTTTTAATAATTTAAAAAGTATTGTTGACTTACCCTTTAATCCGGATCCTTGTATCACGATTGCCTTCTCCATTTGCCCCATTGACACTCACTAATCACTCGAAATTTAAAAAATCGCGCACTACTAAATGTCTTTTAGCATTCGAAAAACACAACACGCACGCACTGTGTTTTCAATACGATTCGCACTAAAACACCAAATAATTTATGTAGTAATAATTTATGCGGACAAGTAATTCGTACGGAAGCTTGGCTAAAACTGACTCGTTATTGTAATAATTTCCTCAAAAACGGCACAAAACTATTTCGTAACAGTTCCGGTGCAAAAAGCCTTTGTTTAGGGCTGCATAATCCCACCCATTCGGCACGTCACAAAAAAATATTATCCAATTCCACATCACCATTTTTTGCGCCCTTTACACTTGTTTACACAAAAAGTAGGTACAGATAAACAAATAAACAACCCTCCGATTTGCCTAATATGACGTCAAAATGCTTGCATCTGATTGGTCTCGGACAGTAACTAGCAAGGATGAAAGACACATTCCTTCAGTGTAACACAACATAACAAGAAAAACTTCAAAACTATCAATTTCTCTTGATATCCCAGCATCGGCATTAAATCTAGCAGCATGTTTTCCCGATTCTATTGAAGAGGTAAACTTTTTACTTTCCCGCCGAGAGGTGATTTGCCACTTTCCTTTCTGAAATTAAAGTGGAAAAACTTACCTTCTGATAGAGTCTTACAAAATAGTTATTTACCTAACGAGTTGGTAAAGATAATTTTCCCGCATGAGCACTTTGTTGGCGATTTCCCCTAGTTCTTGTTGCAAAGTAAAAAACACCGCAGTGCTTGAAAAACGTTTTTCCATGCATCGAGGATAAATGGAAAAATTCTGTTTCCAAGCAATGAGTATAATAATTAACACTAGACAACATAGTTAGCAATTTACAACATTGCATGTTTTTCAATTAAATTACATTTTCCTAAAACAAATTATTTAAATTTATTAAATAATTATCATGCACATTTTTGCCCTATTATTAGAGACGCCAATTCATTATTGCGTTTATTACAGGGTGTCCTAGCGAGTTGGTAAACTCCATCAATTTTCTATATAATTTTAACAATTATAAGTAATGAAAAAGGAGAGGTAATAAAACCACAATAGTAGTAAAATAAATGTATTCGACTTGTAAAAATATTTATAATTAATGGGGTCCATGATCATGGTGGAAATGGGTAGGTTGTACCCTCACTTGGTAATAAAACCAGTCAAAAACTTTTCTATTAAATGAATTACTTACGACTAGAGGAGGCAATGAAAATTTCGTTTTTCTCTCTTTGTGGTGTTAGGTCATGCTTCAAGAATACATTTCCCAACTCGGCTTTAGCTTCAGCAGCCCCCTTGGGCACATTTTCCTTATTAAAATCATGAGTATCACTATACAAAGGACACAAATCGTAACGATTGCCCCTACTTCCATTAAAATGTTTATAATCGGTAACTGGTTGTCCACATATGTAACACATGGAGGCGCCACAAGAACAAGTCGTTTTATTGTAACCCTCTTCTTGGAATTTTTTTTTGCTCTTATAGTTTCAGAGAAAAACGCATTTAAAGTAAAAAAAAATTGAAATTTTGAAAGACGATTACAGCAAAAAGCTCAACACCATTGTAATCAGAATAAAAAATCTATGGAATGGCACCAAACTCAAGTCGATATTTTGCAAAAAAAAATTATTTTCAAACGCCAATTACGGCGAAACTAGAGGAAACTACAGCGCAAAATGCTTAGCAAATTCGTAATGAGCGCGTCAAAATCTATCAGATAAGATAGGTTTAAATCGAATCTAAGACATATTCAAAAACACTATTTTTGTTTTTAATTTTTTCCGTTTTTTTATTTTGTAAATTGCTGCAAAACTGTATCTTAATGATACTTAAGCGTATATAAAATGTTCCGAGGAATCGATTGGCGTCAAGAAAACTGCAAAGTTTGTAATAGTTTTCAATTTATAGTCGAATTTATATTTTTGATTTTATCAGAAATTTTCTCGATAACTATTTATCGTAGAAAACTGTTCTTTCTTGTATATGATGAAAATGAAATTTGTTTTCCAACGGTATCAAACATAAGAGTTTATCGCCAATAAGTCCTTAGTTATTAACAATAGACCGCTGTAGATGCTAAAAATCGACCAAAATTTCAACAAAAATCAAAAAAAAAATTCAACTTTAAAATTAATCCACATAATGTTTTTTACATTTCTAAAGGTCTTAAAGACTCAAAGAAATGTTATTGGATCAAATTTAATCATTGTTTAATCCCTTACCAATGCCTTGAAGCCTTGAACTACGTAAAAATAATCAGCGAAAACATCCTAGGAAAAATTATCTCCTTCACAATATCGTTTGAGTACTCTGTTCGTGTCGATTCTCGTGTGCCGTGTGTCTCGTTTAAAAATTTTAATAATGCTTCATGTAGTGAGTTTTCGAGTTTTCACTTTAAAAAATTCCTCAACATTAATTTTTAGTCTAATTCAAAAAAAAACTCTCGTGATAGATTCATCCCTCTTCGTTTCAACGTCAATTTAACTCCCAACACAACAAATTTCGATTTTGATTACGTTTCCGGGAACTTTTGTGACTCCTTGAACGTTTTTTTTTAAACAATTAAATTTTAAAAAATTGTTCCAACTGATTAAAGGTTTTTGACAGATTACAGTTGTTTTCAGTAGAATTTGAGTGAAAAACGGTTTGAATTGTACGAATTGGCAACTTTTTTAAGAAAAATCAAAGCATAATGACTATCCCATGGGGTCAATTTGAGGGTTCGTGACTTTTCATTGAAAAAAACCTCCGGATTGGGGATAATTTTCACAAAGTTTTTTTCACATTAACGTCTCTCGTGTATTGCTTCTTATGTGCTGATTGTTGTTGATAACGTTGGTAATCGTTCAATTTGGGATAATCGCGGTTTTCCATGGCTTCATTAATGAAAGTTTTCAAATTTTCTGGTTTTCCTTCAAATTTATCACACATCTTGCGGAGTTATAATAAGGCGTCCGGAAGCATTTCCCGGAGGATTTCAAACTGGTTTTGTAGGATAACTTTCGGTTAAGGAGTCGAGAGAGCTCGCTTCGAATACTCATTGTTTGCTAAAAATTTTTTTAAACAATTGAATTTTAAAAAATTGTCCCAATTCACTACTAAAAAAACTATTATTAGTTCGTCTACCACCGTATCATCCATGGCTTTATTGAAGGTTTTCGACATCTTGAATAAAACGACCGATAAGATAATTTTTTGAGTACCTAATATTTGATTACGTTTTCGGGAGCTTTTGTGACTCCTCGAACGTATTTTACTAAATCGAAATATTCTGCACCTAAATAAAAAAATACATAAAAATATATAAATTTTGTTGCATACGTCGATCCATGTAACGATTTAAAAAAACAACACAAAAAAGATAAAAAATAAAATTGACAAAACAAGTTCGAATTAAAATACTTAACGCTAACGAAATTGTTTAATCAATGTTTAATCCCTTCAAGGCCTTGAAGCCTTGAACTAAGTAAAAATAATCTGCAAAAACATCCTACGAAAAATAATCTCCTTCGCAATTATCGTTTCTCGTGTGCCGTGTGTCTCGTTTAAAAATTTTAATAATGCTACATGTGGTGAGTTTTCATATTTTCACTTTCAAAAATTCCTCAACATTGATTTTTAGTCGAATTCCGAAAAAAACTCTCGTGATAGATTCATCCCTCTTCGTTTCAACGCCACTTTAACTCCCAACACACCAAATTTCGATCCCTTAGAGATCGAAGTATTCAAAAACTGTGGATTTCTAAACTATGCCAAAATCCGCTACAACCAGAACAACTACAAAAACGAGTTACAAAAAATTATGTTCCCATATGAAGCAAAAGTTTTGAATTTTTTCCCTCCAAAGAAATGCATTAGGAACAAAAACCCGGAGGGTGAACCAACGTGGCCGGTTAAACCGAGGGAAAAACCGGTCATAGACCCGCCACAGACCGTGTTGGACATGCCCCAATTCGACTCATATATCTGTAAGTCATTTACAAATTTCAATTTTTTTGATAAGTGTTTTCAGGCCATAATATCTGTGATTGGAGCAGCAAAGGCTACATTGCCACGATTTTCGAAAATGAGGTTCATATCTGGAACTCAATTTCGAAGGAAAGGACCATCACCTCCACGTTTCATAGAATTCAGCACTCCATCAAGTGGAGGAGTGGGACGTCCCTCCAATTTGCTGTGGGTTTGTCACCCAGCAGCGTCGGAATTTGGGACCTTTTGGCAAGGAAGGTTGGTACGCTTTTAATTATTTCACAAAATCACCGAAAAATTGTTACATAATATGATTATTTGTCTCAACAACAAAACTTACTAGACACTGCGCGCTAAAAAGTAGTACCGAGTCAAATCCGAATTTGATAGTTATTTATGTATCAAGGGAATAAACAACTACCGTGCGATCGAAAAAGAAATAAATTAGAGTAGGCAACGATTTATATTCTACAGTTGGCAACAATTTTTGCTGGAAATTTTCCACACAAAGTGGAAGTGAAAATGACCGTTCACCATTTTCGTCTTGTACAACATTTTTGTAATAACTTGCAACAATAAAATTTTTCTGCTGTAAAGCGAACATTATTATAAACTTGTCAAAGTTTCCGCTGACATTTTATTTAAGGTCAAAAATCAGGATTGCCAACACTTTTTTTTTCGATCGCACTTTATTTTAATTTTAAAATTTGTCAAATAATGTCAAATAATTTGTCAAAGTATTCATTTCATTCAATTGCAATTTTAAGTAAAACTCTATCAACTCTATATCAAAGACTTGTTTATGTCAAAAACACTCAAAAGATTCAATTCATTCAATTCCAGTTTATATTTCCAGTTTTTAACAGTTAGAATCGGTATTTCATTTATTTTATTCCCGAGAAAATGAAGTATCACAGTACCAAATTATTAGCCCAAAAAAGGAGTGAATAAAGCGTCACATTATTCCTTGTTGGGAGGAAAGTAACTTATTTCATATTTCGAAGTGTTAAAATGTTAATTTTTAAGTTGCCATGGATAATCAAATAAGAATATGTGTACATACCTACCAGAATATCCCTTAAACGTTCCTCACTTTAATGTCTTCAACTAACCAAAAAGAAATCCCTGATACTCCATACACTCCACTAACACAATTATTCGTAAAAGTAGCAACCACTTCAAAAACGGCGTTAAACAAAACTAACCCAAAATCTTCCACAGTTTTTAATTCGAATTTATCAGAACCATAAAACTTGACAGGTACAAAATCGACAGATAATAACAATACCAACCTAATAATAAAAAAATCCTCTGATACACATGTTTCACTGATTTTTGTGTTTTTATTTTTTAATAATTATATCACTGTAAATAAGAAAAAATGTTTAAAACATAGATTTTCTAAAGATTTTATTAATGCAATTCTTTACGTAAACTTTACTTAATTTTAAAAAACTGTCGATCCATAAGATACCGGGTGACTGTTAAAGTTAGTAACAAAAAATCTGTGAAGTTTTTTTTCACTATTTCAAAAAAAATTAGACAAAAAACTTGTCTATATCACAATTCCCCAGTTCATTTTACATAAAATTGTGACTGTGAACATCAAGTTTATAAAGCGTTTGTGTTTGAATTTTGTTACTAAGTGGATCATTTAGGGCTACTTAAGTTGGTAACAGATTTGAAAGTATTTTTGTTAATAATTTGTAACACTGCAATCGAATACTGTTTTGCTTGACAAATACTTAACGTACAACACCTCAAGATTGTTAAATTGTTGTTATTCAGAAATATGCTCCAGTGGTATCCTTTAAAAATTGAAGTCAGGATTGCCAACATATTATTTCATTCTTGATCACTTTGTAAATACTTAAATTTTTTTAAATGTATATTTTTAAACTAGAAGTCGTAATTTAAAAAAAATGTGTAGGTAGATTCGGATTACGTACCCAACTCATTTTACCTAAAACAGTGCCAATTTCAAGTCTGTTAGACTTGTTGAATGGTTGAGAAAAAATAATTTAATTTTACATAAAACAATAGCGATTTCAAGTCTATTTAATTAGAAGGTTGAGTTTTTAAGCAAAAGGTAAAGTTTTCAATTCTTGAATTTGTTACCAACAAATATCGTGTTTTGGTTCTCGATTTTACATGAGACATTTGAAGTCATGTAAATGCTTCAGTGCTCATCATGTGAAAATAATTGGAATTTTTGAGATTTGATAGAAATTCAGAAATTTATTTAAACATTTCTGAAACTATAAGTCGTAATTAAAAAATTGTTCACATTCGAATTTTTTTCCAAATCAAGTTCAATACAAATATTACAAATGTAGATAGTTTTAAAACCTCTGATTACGTAAACAGCAGAAGAGCTCATCAGATTGCTTTTTGATATGATTTTCATTTTGAATTTAACACTAGATGCAGCACCGCACCTAATACATATTAGTTTTTTTATATTTTTTATATTATTTATTGTAAACGACCTTTTTCTTGAGATAAAACACTCAACCAATTTCACAGAAGGCCTTTGTTCGAGTTCCCGCCATTCGCAACGTCACAGAAATAATTCGAACCCAATTCCAATCTTCACCATTTTCTGTGCCCTTTACATAATATAATTTTTTATCAGAAAACTAAAACTGATTTTTGTAAATAGCTCACTTGCTGGAGATCTTGCTGCTGCTTCCCTCAAAACTGCGAAGTCTTCGCCCTCGAATGGATAACTCCCAAATTTCTAGTCACCGGTTGTTCTCAAGGCACTTTGAAAATCTTCACTTCGAAGCTGAAAAAAATCAGGGGGTTGTCCAACGCCCACAATGGTGCCATCATAAAAATCGCAAGTTCCTGCGACCGGCGGTTTATCGCGACGACTGGTTTGGATAAAAGAATGATTGTCTGGAAAATCCCGGATTTAGAGCGCCATTTCTGCTTTGAAACTGACACAATTAGCAAGGCAGTGGCATGGCACCCCTGGAGGGGCTCTGTCCTGGCTGTGGGAGTGGGGCAAAATGACGGCCACATAGTCATTTTGAACATAAATGAAAAGAAACCGATGGCTGAGGAGAAATTCACCTACCAGAATACCACAGTCGATGCTCTCACTTTTAATCCAATCAGTGGCGAGCTAGTGGCGAGTTTTTAACACCAGAACTATTTTCAAAATTATTTTCGAAATTTTAGGCCGGCTATTTCGTTCGAGATGTGGTGGATGGAAACAAGGGGGTCGGCGTGGTTGTCGTTTTCTCGGATATCGATCAAATCGTGGAGGAGTTGCACCTACACGATGGCCCCATTTTATACCTCTTGTGGGGTAACGAGGGACAAGAGTTAGGTAACTTTTCATACAAAGTGTGTCAGAATTCGCGCCCCAGAGAAAAATTACAAGTAAGATAAGATACCAAGAACATGGAAAAAATGTTCAAAAAATTCTATCTGTCAAAAAATTTTGACATTTGACATTTTTTATCCACATAACTATTAAATTATAATATAAATTATTATTATATTTTAATTAATTATAATATAAATATAAATAAATTTTTATAACAATTTTTCTATGTTTTTGGTATCGTACAGTTGGGGACACGGAATCGTGGACAGTCTTTTCTCGTCATTTCAAAAAAATGTCAATGAGAATGTATTACCGCCATTATGATTGATATTTAAAAAAACTGTCAAATTAACTTTGACATAGCAATAGCTTATTCAAAGTGGAATGTCTTGGTGACATTGGGGATTCCAAAAACTTCGACTTTGTCAGTGTCAAAAAGACAAATATGCCAAACATTAAAAGCTTGCTTATAAGTACCTACCTAAGGTATAATTTAGAAATTTTGACAACTGAATGACACATCTGCTCAGTTTTTCGTGTCCCCCACTGTACTTTACATGGCATTTTTCTTTGGGGCGTGAGTTCTGGCGCATCCTGTATACAGGCTGTCTCAAAATTAACGCCCGTGCTTGTGGGATTTGATTCAAAGGGCTAATACAAATCGAAAATTAACAGTGGAAAATTTTCAGATTATCCACGTTATCAACATATTGATAAAAAACGAAAATTTAACATATAAACTTATTAAACTATTAAAAGGAGTAATATTATAAAGCAAGATATTTTTCGCATCTGTTGTCACAAAATACAGTTCTCTTTTACGAGTTGAACATGCAATTTTTTTGTGTAATTAATGAAAAAGGTTTGAATAAAAAAGTAATTTTAACACAAATTTATTGATTTAATCACAACTGCTGAATCAATCACACGAAGCATTGCTCCACAATTTTTTTTTAGTTGGAGATCTCAAAAAAGTTTGATAAAAACGTATGCTTTGCTAATGACTAATGTGTTATTACCACTTTATAGATTTCTACTTATTAAAATTACTGTCTTCTACAAGAAACTTATTATTTACATTTTTATTTTACAATACCTCGATAACGAAGGACAATCGGAAAATTTACTACTCTTAATTTTCGATTTGTCATGGGCTAAGTCTCAAAAGCACGCTCGTCAATTTTGAGACACCTGTATAATTTTCTCGATTATTAATTTATTTTTATGAATTGCAGCGTCCGCAAGTGCGGACGAGAATTTATGTATCTGGGATTTTTTCGGAAAAATTAACAGTCAAAATGGAAGAAACAAAAAAGAAGAAAGCCCACCCAAAAGTTCGGTACTACTTCGTACTATTAGGTGACTTTAACATGCCAAAATCGGGAGTTGTGCATTTTAAATACATTTCTGTTGCCTACTTGGAATTACGATTTAATCGGCCAAGTAGGTTTTTTATTTAAATTGTATCTTTTTCGGAGGTGTTAGTTCGCAAGGAAACACAATTTTCTAACCTGCTTTTGGAAACTTAGATGTCTAAGGGATCAAAATTTAATGGGTTTGACGCTGAGATGAAGGAGGATAAAAATTTAAAAAAAAGGATTTAAAATTTAATAAACATTTGCCAATTAAGCTAATATACCAAGTTTTGGGTTTTTTAAAATCTGAATAGTTCAATGAATTTTATTATATGTTTTCTAATATTTTATGTTTGTATCTTTACATTTTACAATTTCGTATTCAAAATAAACAATGCCTGTATCAAAAGCTGGGTTACATCTTTACAATTTTATATATGAATAAATATAAAATTCAAGATTTTGTTTTCTTTTCTGATACTCCTTTCTAGAGATACGATTATTTTGGGAAAAATTTTCAAATAAATCGCATATAGAATCACACATTTATTAAAATAAAATTCAAATTCAACTCTGTTCTACATATTTTAATAACATGTAGCTTCCACGTTGAATCGGTGAAGCCCCGACAGTTTTTTAATTGCTGACATAGCTTTAATTCGGTAAAACTCCCCACTAAAGCCACATCAACAACTAAAAACTTGTCAGGCAAAAGGTCTGACGGTTTTTCCATACTTCGAGCGAATGTTCGATCTAGTCACAAAATCGACAACAATGTGACTCGAAACGAACACCCGAAAAAAATATGAACTGAGGCGAAACTTGCTGTTCTGATGCCCCGGTCTCGACTTGGTAGAGAGTAACTGAAACTGTGAAGTAACTAATGGCTGTGATATGATTAAATGAACAAATCACACCAATAGTTCCTCCACAGTAGCAGCGATGCAACAAGTTGTAAAAACACATCATCAAATCTTGGCGACATAGACGTGTGATTTCAAATTATTCACACGGCTAGATCACCAAAGAAGTGATAACGTGTTAGGAAAAATGAAAAAATAAAATGTTTTGGTTCAAATTGTGATGATAAAGACGTAACGTTCATAGTGAGTACCGTTCGTACTACGTTAAAAAATCGTATGTACCAACAGTACCCCCTATAAATCATTTACTGAACAATGATTGTCGAAAAACCCTAACATCTAATGTGAGATAATTCCGTACTACTTATGAAAAAACAAGTAGGAATGGAAAGATCACACGAAAGATATTAAGAAAGTACGAAACACTTTACTCACCACAAAAATTACAACAAACAAAAAGTTTAAACTCAAAAATGGCGACGTGTTCAATCCGTACTATGAGCAAAACCAGACACATTACGGAAAGAACAAGTCGCATTTTATAAGTTTATTACAAATAAAAATACACAAATGGTCGGGAGAGTGTTTCCAAAACCAAGCACTGAGCACTAACGAATAACAACTGACTTTGAAAACACTTCCCTGCGGCCTTATATACTACTAAGCTTTGGAAAGAGACAAAATGGGGGGCTGAAGTGGTGGGGCGACAGTTGACCCTTTACAGGTAAACTTAAAATTTGCAACAAAACTAATTTCTATAAAATGTGTATTCCAAATTTAAAATACAATAATTCATTAAATGATAAATAATTACAAATAAAGACTTGACGAAAAGATTATATCTCTTTTAATTTGTTTAATCGCTGTATTAAATTTATCTTCCAAATCTGTGTTGCCTATAGTTTTTGAAGCTTGAATCATTTGTCTTAATAATTCTTCTAATCTACGCATACACCTAACAATTGATCCTTCGAAAATTTCCGTCATTTTACACAAATCGCTAAAAGATGAACCATTGCACCAAGAAAATACCACATCCATCAACCCTGGTTTAAATTTTTCAACGTACGCGTCTTCGTCTAATGGCAATCTTGCTTCACTACTTACTTTTGCTATTCTTCTTGCGAGGTCCTGCAAACATATTTCGCTAATCACGATTTCATTCTCTTTTCTCTTGCCAAAAAGGCCAAAACGATAATTTTTTTTACTGAGTCTTAATTTGGTGTAAAAAATTTCTAACCCAAAACAAATCAATTAACTTAATAAATAAAATACTGGAAGAAAGCACTTTAAACATTTGATATAGTATTCTATTTTTATTCTAAGTATCGTATTCCATTTTTAAATCATTATTGCTAGTTTTGTGTTTATTATAACGTACTTTATTTTCTAATTATTTTTTACAAAAATAAAAATATTTTCATTAACACCCTATATCTTAGGGGAGCATTTTGTTACTAAGATGTATTAGATTAATTCTTTTTTGGCCTAAAGAAGCTTTGGTAAAAAATAGCCCTAATTATGACACCCTGTATATTTAAGTTAAAAATTATATTTATCATATTTTTTATTCAAACTAAGCATCGATTTTTAACCTAAGAATCACGCTTTTCATTATAATTTAAAATTTAGTCAAAAAAACCATAGCGAAAACTTTTTAACAAAAAGCAATAAACATGTACAGACGCGTTGAAATAATTTAATTCCACATACTTATTAGAAAGTTAGAAAGAAAAACTGGGAAACAATTCGCCACCACCACGTAAATTTTAATAGTAGATTAACTTTCTAAGGTGATTATCACCTTATCACGCTGTGATGGGAAAAACAAGTGATCAAAATAATATCTTCCAAGAAAATTTTAATATCAAAATATATACAGGGATGTTTCAGGACTCGCGCCCCAGAGAAAACTGCCAAGTAAGATAAGATATCAGAAGCATGAAAAAAATGTTTAAAAAATTCCATCTATATCTAATTCTATTGTTCCAGCTATTAAAAAAGGAAACAAAGAAGCTGTATCTGAATTGTAATCATGTTTTACGTTATTTACGGCTTATATTGACAAAATTTTTGTACCTTTACTGAATAATATGAATATTTTTTGACAGATAATAGGACATTTTTTCCAATACTTTCTTACTTGATATTTTTCTCTAGGACTCGCGTTCTACAATTCTCATTCTAAAACACTGTATGTACTGCGTATATTTTATATAGAGACTTTGCTGATGAATCATTCTACATACATATGAAATAATTTTGTCCAAATAATTTTGTATGATCAAACAAAAACAATTAATTTCAATATTTATCAACATTAATACTTTCAATCTAAATCAAATTTAAATGATTACCAAAAGATTACCAAAATTATATGACACTAGCAAAATTTTAATCTTCCAACAATATTTCAACAATTTTCAATTTCAATATTTATCAACATTAATACTTTGAACAAATAAAATTTTAAACAAAAATTTGTCTTAAGTATGTCCCCGGATTGAAAAAAATCTTTGATTTTACGCTAAAACTGCAAAAAAAAATTTTTTTCTTGTTTTTTGACATTTGACATTTTTTTATGTCTATTTAATGATACTGATGGTCTTGTATATGTTTTTTTATAATTATTTAGTAAAGGTAGAAAAATTTTACCAATAAAAGTCACAAATAACATTAAACAGAGATACAATTTAGGCTACAGCTTCCTTGTTTCTTCTTCTAATAGCTTGTAGCAAAAAAACTTAGAAAAGTATTTTTCCAACAGAAATAAATAGAGTCAAAATGCAAAATTTAAACTCTCATAACTTTGAAATTTTTATAGCCAGAATTTTTAAACATTTTTCCCATGTTCCTGGTATACCTTACATGCCATTTTTCTCTGGGGCGCGAATTCTGACGCACCCTGCATAAATTAAAATGGTGTCTTCTATTTTTTTATGTATTACACTAACAAAAGAGAACAAATTGAACTACTTTTGTTGATCAGTTAATAAAAATGTGACACAAATCTCAACTTGCTAGTATTCATAATCAAAAAAAATTAAATCCCATTTGAATTTTATTTTTATAGCAAAAGAAGTATACTTGAGCTTCAGCCCCTTTATTCAAGTTAAACAGTAAATAAGTAAATAAGCGAATTAATACTAATATTATTTTGACTTTCTAAGCATAATTGCGACCCCCTACTACACGTAAACTACCCTAATTATGGTAATCTTTTAGTACGTTTAAATTCTTAAAAACAATTTTTAAGTAATCTTAAATTTTCACAATTTCAGTGTTTGAAAATTTAAAACTTGTCTTGTCTTGCGATACATAACAAATTTTTGTATGTATTGTACTGATTAAGTGGCAATTTCCATAAATATAATTAGATACAAACGTTAAACTCAAAAAAACTGTTCAAAATAACTTAAATAAAAACGAAATAAATTAATTTGTTTCTTTTTTATATTATTTTTTTTATCTTTCCAAAACACCTGTACAAGTATACGATATTATTTAACATTAAACAAGCCAAAACTGGCTTTTTCGACGAATTATACCCACATGAAAGTATCCCCAAATTAGGTGTTTCTTGGAAAATTCCTGGTGAAAGATTTACAGGCATTAGAAAAGGCATTCCTGTTAAATATTCACTTATGACAACAAATTTGACCGTACCGCCAGGGTGCCTGACTCCTGATGCTAATCCCTGAATCATCATAAAGTGCAAATTTCACATAAAAGAAAAGTAGTTTTGACATCATGTCTCGACCAAACTCAACAAACTTCATAAGCAAAATATTTAAACATACATCAAGACTATTAAATACGTAAAAAACAAACTCAATTTTGTCTAATTCTATCAAAACTTGAGTGCAAAAGTGCAAAATTCCATACTTCTTGTAAATAATTTTTTTTAATGGAGAAAACTCACCTGCATTTGTCTCAAAGGTCCCGACAGTTCCTCGGATAATTTCGGCATTTCGTTGGTTTTTTCATCGCACACAAACGTACTCAATAAGGCACACGCCTGTGCTGGTGACAAGTTTCCAAACACTCCGTTGAATATCATTTCCGTGATAAGCAATTCGTCGGCACTGCAACATTTACAACACATTCAATAATACTTTCGGTCTTTAAAAAATGCCGAAACTATTACCTGCTCAACTCACAAGCCACCCTGCCTTTCAATTGTATTACATCCGTATTAGTGCAATAACCCAGCCTTCTGAGTACTCTTTTACGACACTTCAACTCATCTAGTTGTAAAACCGACTTGGCCTCTAGCAATTTTTGACGAGCTACGGCCAATTCCTCCTTGCATTTGACTTTTTGTTCGTATTTTTCATATTCGGTGTTTAAAAGTGAGTGTTTATGCAAAGGATGATCATACATTCTACAAGTAATCCATAATTTTGATACAAGAATAAATTTCACCTAAGTACTTTTTTTCGAGTTGTTCGATTTTTTTCACGATGTCGACGAAATCCGATTCTGAAATTTTCATGTCATCGATTGGGTTTAAAAGCGGCGGTCCTTCGGGAAATCGCTTTTTTACTTCTTTTATCGATTTGTACACGCCTTTCCTGGTATCTTTCTGTCGCAAATCATTGGGGCAATATAATCGTACGGTTGAAATGTGGGTTATCATTGCTGATTCAACGCTTACTATTTCAACTTCTCCTTTCTGTTAAAATAAGTCCATGAATTTTTGCATAAATATGTAAATCCGGTTTTAAAGTGAAAAGCAACCATCTCTTGTAATTACCTGACCATCCAGACAAGGTTTGGGGATTACTTCTTTATTGTCGGACCCATCCTCAGACATGACGTGCAATAGCAAATCCACCTGAACTTTCGTAGAAGTTTTGGCGGGATTTGCTTTACCGTGTTTGCGGCCAGGTATATTTTCGCTAACTTTCTTGAAATTCACCACAGCTCCCCAGTCATATTCAGTATCACCAACTTTTATCTAAATTTTAATAACGAAACAAAGTTAATTTCTTCACAAAATTCAAATTAGTGTTTGCAAAAATCATTCATTAATCTTTCGAACAGAATATGACTAAACAAGAGAAAACAGTTAATATGCTTCATTATTTATTCCATCATTTTAATATACATCTTTGAAATAAGAATTAACAAGAAAAAAATTATTTATAATTAAGGTAATTAAGTTTGTTAGCAACAACCACAAAGCAATAATGTTTTATTGCTTCAAATATAGAGGAAGCTCCTCATATGCACAGAAAAATAATACTGGATGTGTCAAAACACGCACCCCAGAGAAAAATTTCAAGTAAGATAAAATACCAGGAACATAGAAAAAATGTTAAATTCTATGTGTCAAAAAATTTTGACATTTATTTTTGATATTTGACATTTTTTTATATCTATTTAATGATACTGCCAATCTTGTATGCAGTATGTCCCCGGATTGAGTTTACAAGAGGAGATCTTTGATTTTACGCGAAAACTGCAAAGTAAAAACATTTTTTGCTTCACCTGAAACTGGCAAATCAGTAATTAAAACTAAAAATGTTTAAACAATTCTTTCTGTCTAAAATGTCTCACAAATGAAATAGTTTTGATTATTAAATTTTATTTTAAATATAAGCTTTTCATCAAAACTTTACAAAAAACTGAAAAAAGATAAAATTACAAATACCCATTCAAAAATAATGTTGGTGATCCAAGCATTTAATGTTTTTTTCCCTTTTCATTCAAAGCCTCCAAACTTTGCTTATATTTCAAACATTTTACAATATTTTTTTCATTAAATAAAGAATTTTAAAATACAAAACCTGAATTAATGTCAAATTAATTTAATTTTGTGATTCCTCTCGATTTAAACTTGTTTTTTTTAATCGTCAATAACAAAAATCCTAAGCGTGAAAATTTTATACAGGCTGGATTATAAAAACGCCCCAAGTCATAACTAAATTAAGACAACACTTCTAAGAACAAAGTTCCAATTACAGAAAAAAAAACTTTAAATTATGATAAAGATTTTCTCATTCCGCCTAATTCAGTATTTATTTTTTAAATGAAGAAATATTCAGTTTTAATCTTGTTGTGAGAGATTTTTCGTTACTTGATTCAGCAGTAATGTTTTCTTAATAGTTAATAATAAACGCAATAAATTTTTAAAGAAATTGTTTTAAGAAAAAATGAGTAAAAGAATCAAAATTTTACATGGACGAAAATAAGCAGTAAATAAGCGGTTTTAGATTTTTTAAACAATTAAAGATCCTCAAGTAGATTTACAGCGTATTTACGTATCTTAAATAAGAATATCTCGTGTAATACAGAAACACTATTTTTGATAAAACAATTCTTAGTTTCTTTTTTTATTTTTATTTCAGAGTCCTTCCCGTTGTGTATTTTACGACATTATAAACAGTAAAGATACAAAAATTGGTTCTGGATTGGCGAGGATAAATTTATAATTGCACCATATTTGCGCTACTAATAGCAAACAAGTGTTTGCTTAATTTAATTATATCAATATTTTAGTTATTAAATCTTTTTAAAACCATCAAATGTTAAGGTGATTACGTAAAATTTTATTACTCAAATGTATATTTTAGGCAATATAAAGACAATAGAACCACCAAAAGCATAGAAAATGTATATTTTAGGCAATATAAAGACAATAGAACCACTAAAAGCATAGAAAATTAACTCAATAAAAAATAGTTTACCTTAACCAAACGTCCAGGTTGTAAGAAGGGTATAAGATAATTAGGTTTTGTTAAATACGATCGAAATTGCATCCCCAACTTATCCAATTCTTGCCTAATTGTATAGTACGATGCAATTTGTGGTTCACATTCGATTTGTAAATTATTATACTCCTCCAATTTCTCCTTATATTCTTAAAACAAAAAAATGTCAATTCTTTACCATCCAAAAATTAAAAGTAAAAACTTACTATCGTACAAGCCAGGTATGGCTGTCTGATTTTGAAACTGATAAAATGACCTTTCCAACATATACTCCGGATTAATTTCTTCGACTCGTAGTAAATTTAAAACCATATTATAAGTCAAGTGAAAAGCGGAATTAATTGGATCTGGCAAACCCTTCACAATGTTTCTACCAGCAGCAGGAGGCACCTTTTCATCGACCATCAGGATAACTATACCCTTATCGTCCAAACCTCTTCTCCCAGCACGTCCAGACATCTGGATATACTCTCCAGAAGTAATCTAAAAATTTATCTCCAATTAGAGACTATAAAATTATAAATTTTTAACCAAGTGGGCTGTGATTTGAAATTAAGTTGGCAACATTGAATGAATTATTAAAAATATCTGTATTTAAATAATAATAGGCTAAAAAGCACGAGATTAAATTAAAAAAAAATGTTCAAAATCACAAAAATCAAACAAAATAACAAAAGACTTCATGTAATAACAAAAAATTGACGAAAAAATTTGTTAAAAATATCTGCGCCAGCAATTATACAGACTGACTGTAACTGATTGTGATTTTTATCTTCAAGTCTGGCAACCTTGACCCTCAATTCAAATTCAGAAAAATTAGCGATAATTTAGTATTGCCAATCGATTTTTTGTCTCAAACTTTAATAGTCACCCGGTACAATAATTAACTTCATGTTTGGTAGTCACTTCTAATGTTGCCAACTTAATTTCAATCAGCAGCCACTTTGACCAAAAATTGAATTGCCATGAACCAACCCAGCGATATTCAAGTCCGTCAAATTTTCTCATTCCAGTGAAAAGAACTGTTCTGGCTGGCATATTGAGCCCCATTGCGAAGGTTTCTGTTGCAAATAAAGCCTTGATAAGACCTTCCCCGAACAAAATCTCTATTGTTTCTTTCAAAATAGGAAGCAAACCCCCATGATGTATTCCAATACCTCGACGCAATAAAGGCAACAAATTTTCAACTTGTGGCAAATGCCTATCCTCATCTGTCAAAACATCCATTGCATTATTAAAAACTTCATCAACCAACTGTTTTTCCGCAGCTAAAAAACGCCAATTAATTTCACTCGTAAAACAACTTTAAAATAACTACTTGTATTAAAATCGAGTTTCGTCATTTGCATTGCAAACACTTCGCAATCTTTCTTACTAAAACTAAAGACAATAACTGGAGCAAAATTTCGTTCCATGATCATTTTTATAACTTTAAAAATGTCGGTTTGAGTCGCATCTTTATTTTTTATACCGCCACGTCGACCCCTTTCGTCGCCTTTGGCGGCATCACCGGAATTTTGCAAAACCGCCATGGCAGCATTGTAACTGTCGTCTTTAAAAGTTCCCTAAAAAATGAATAAACAACGAGCCAAAACCACGGTAAATTTTTACAGTTTCGTCCACCACCATGTGTATGCCACTTCCGCCTGCAGGGTAAATAAAGTGTTGTAATGGGGTTGGTCTATAATCGGTGTAGACCACGTGACAGGGTTGGTCGTGCAAATGGGCAACCCATTCTGCGAATTGGCGTGCATTTGGAATCGTCGCTGATAGGAACACAAAATGGACATTATGTGGCAACAAAATAAGAGTTTCTTCCCAAACAACGCCTCTTTCTTTATCACGCATGTAATGGATCTCATCAAAGACAACCCAGCCTACTTCCCGCATTACTTCAGATCCCCGATACAACATATTACGTAAAATCTGTAAATGAATAATGAGTCTCCATTATAAGATAATAAAAATGTACTTACTTCAGTTGTCATAATAAGACAAGAAGCACTGGGATTTATTGTAACATCTCCGGTTATGAGACCAACATCTTTAAACTCATCTAGAAATTCTCTGTATTTCTGATTAGATAGGGCTTTTATTGGAGTGGTGTATATGACGCGTTGCTTGTTCTTTAGCGAGAGTGCTATTGAATATCTGTAAAAAATATGATACTTTTAAATTTTCACAAAGATTAGTCATTGCAAAAAAATTAACGAAGCAATTTCGCAATGAGAAATTTTCTGTCAATAAAGTAAAAAAAAAAACAAAAAAAAACAAAACAAATTGTAGGATAAAGTCAACAAAACTTTATTCTAGACACAAATAAAACAAATACACTTAAATAAAGCTCAAAATTCAAATTATTGCGGTATTTCATTAATTTCCGTTCATTCCCAAACATGAATTAATCGGCAAGTTAAAAACGTTTATGCTATCAATAAAAAATGGAAAAAATCAAAAATCAGAAATAACTTAAAAATAATGTAAAATGTGTTTTTTCGTCGTTGCTATTTCCTTTCCCTATTTACTGTTATTAAAATGACACCCTTTGTCACCTAGAAGCACTAAACGAAGACATTGTACCTACAAAACGCTTGTGGTGTAAAAAAAGTACAAAATTTTCCAAGATAATACAAAATAAGACAAGAATAGTTTTTGTTGCAATGTTATCAAAAATTTGAGTATAAAAAAAATTACATCTTGTAAGAAATATTAAGCAAAAAAATCGCACGAGATCATAAAAAACTGAACAAAAATCGCTAGTCGGAACATAAATTGAGCAAAAAACCTCCCATTGTCATAAAAATCGTTTGTTGTAACAAAAAATGCATCAAAAAAGTACACGATCACCAAATAATATTGAACAGAAAATTGTTCAGTGAAACGAAGTGAGCAAAAAATCGTAAGAAATAAAAAAAAATAAAAAAGCGCTTATCGAAACAAAAAATTCGGCAAAAACTGACCTTAATAAAAAAAATTGTACGTTATAACAAAAAAAAAAGTTTAAAAAACCGAATAATAACAAAACATGAACAAAAAGCGGTAGCCACAACAAAATAATAAGCAAAAAAGCACGAAATCAAAATAAAAGATTTCATGTAGTAACAAAAATTGAGGAAAAAAATTGGAAAGAATTACAAAAAAATAAACAAAAAGCTTGCCGGAAAAAAGTTAAGCAATAAAATAATCCATAATAACAAAAAAATCGGACAAAATCATAAAAAAGGGAACAAAAAAATGCTTGTCCAAACAAAAAATCACTTATGATAATAAAAAACTGCATGTTGTAACATAAAAATGAAAAAAAAAAATCACCTGTAACAAAAAATCGCATGTTGTAAAAAATTGAGCAAAGAATCGTCCATAATAACAAAAAATACATTAGGCGAAATCTTAATAACAGTTAAAATTTTCACTTTTAAAATTTTATTTTGTTTCAAATATTTCGACTTCAACTAAAGAAAAATGTTGCATTCCTCCTACTTCCACCTACTACTTCTTATTCAAACTGTGGTTTATTAAAAAAAAAAATGTATGGACATTGAAGTTTTGCACCAAGATAAATAATTCCCAATAAAAGATTTAATTTATGATCAGAAGTTGATTGCACACTATCAGGAGCCAAATAAAGTGTTAGTAGTGAAAGTATGAAAGAAAAACTAATTTCTCATTACGTATTTTTATTTTAATGTTCAAAAACGATTTATTTATTTATTTATTTAGACTTTGTTGTGAGCGAAGTTTAGCTGACGCTACTCAACGTAACTCAGTACATAACCAAAAACAAAACAAAAAAATAAAAATGAAAAAGAAATTGTGCTAAAAAAAGATTATAAAATATTTAAAGAGGTAATAGTATGGACCAAAATAAACAAAAAAGTTTTAACAAACATGGGTTCGCAAAGAATCGGTTTTGAAGTTATCGAATGTGAAAATTTTTACTACAAAGTATATAATAATAATAATTTGCAACTGGATACAGTTTTGCTTGACAAATACTTGACGTACTCAAGATTATTGAATTGTTGTTATTCAAAAGAGCAAGCTTTAAAAATTAGAGTCAGGATTGCCAACAGATTCATTCATTGTGGATCACTTTGTAAAAGCTTTTCTTTTTTTCTTTGAACAGATTCAAATAAATGTTTCAAAAAACGAATAACTTTCGATATCTCCGAAAACAATACTTTACTACTTTATTAAGAATTTTTTGTTTGTTTTGGTCCATACTATTACCTCCTGAAATACATTTACAATCTTTTTTTAACACCCTGTATAACGTAATAAACAAAAATAAAGAGAAAATCAAGTTAATGTTTTTTTTTGTTTCAGATATCTATTAAACCGTCATAAAAGAAGCAATTTTTTAAGTTTTCCTATCAAAATAGTACGGAAATTATTGCAAAAAGTTACCAAAAATGTGACAAATGTCAGTATTTTTTCATTTTCTTGAGCACAATTTTAAATTATGTATATTAATTATATTTGATTCCCCATATTTTCACTGAACTTAACACTTGCAAGATGTGACAATAAAAAAAATAGTAGTGTAGTAAACAAAAAAACTTACTCTGCAATGACTGTTTTACCAGCCGATGTGTGTGCTGAAACCAACACCGACTGATTATTATCAACACACAATATAGATTCCTTTTGGAAAGAATCTAACGCAAACGGAAACGTTTTCGCTGGTTCCCCTCGGCATGTCTTCAGCGGCGTGTACTCCTGTCCCGGGGGGCACGCAACTTCGTGCGTACACGACTCCATGGACTCGATAACATGAACAACAATTCTATTTTTCAACTCCTCTAAACTACAAATCATGCAATAAGAACAAAGCATTTCCCGACCATTTACATACTTAATGTCTTGTATATCGACTTCTTCCTCAGTTTTGGCCTTTTTCGAAAAAGCCTGAACAGCATCATCATCGTCATGGTCGCGTTTGGACGCTTGTGTTTTACTATAATTACCCAAAAAAGCAAGTTCAGCGTGTGTGTTTGAGGTTATAATGACTGTTTTACCTGTCGGATGATGGTTGGATTTCTGTTGATTCATTTTTAAGTGAAGGTTTTTCCGAATCGGAATCCTCTTCGAAACACTGAAAGAGGTCGTCAATGGAATCTGCCATCACGTTTTAATTTTAAAAACTGCTATTTGTGCCCCTTTTTCGCATTAAAAAAGCACGCGCCAACCTATGTAATCACTTGTTTTTTAGGACCGGCCGAAAATCAGACGAGGGAAAGGCAGTGCAGAGTCCCTAAATATTGGTTGGCAACAGCTTTTGCGCGTAATTTAAATGACAAGACATAAAAATAGAAATTAGCATTGAAACTTAAAATTTATTGTTCTTTTACATATTTTACACCTAAAATGCGTTTCATACACATGCTCGCCCTCTAAGTTTTTGGTTTTCCTTTATTTTATGTTCAAATAAAGAATGCTTCAAAATGTAAAATCAAACAGTAGCAAAAACTCACAATAGCTAATTTTGTAACAAAAAATTCTAGACCTTTAGAAACCTCATAAAAACAAGGACGTTTTTGTTAATTTTAAGAAAATTTTCTTTACAGAAGTAAACAAAAATGAGAATTGTTTTATTTTATAAATCAGCTTAGTTAACTTTTAATACGGCTTGTAAGACATTCCTTTTTCCCTTTTTGATTGTAAAGAATCAATCAAATATGCACAATAGTAAAAAAAAATTAGTTTTTGCATTTGAATTACCCGCTATTGTGTAGTTTGCCACGGAACCGCTTGGACTTGGAGCGCTAAAGTCAGTAGTGCTAAAGACGTTTTTGACTGTTTGAGGTTAAATAATGTGTTGTTTATATTGATAATAGTGATAATCTGATAATAATATTAAAATAAAGTGGTAAATTAATATAAAATACTCCTAGTTTTTGTTTGTTATTTCTGTTATGTTATAACTCGTAGGTATTATTTGGCTGAAGAACAGGTCGCTTTTTGTATTTTTAAATATTTCCTTTTGCTATATTTAGGAAATACTTACAGATTTGATGGCACGTGTTAAGACCTGTGCTGTACCATGCTGTCCAAATACTAGTGAAAACGCCCCTTCAAAAATATTTTTAAGTATACCTAAGGATCGTCGCCTAAAATGGTTCAAAGCAATTGAGTTTACTGAGTGGTATAGACAATGTAGTAGAGCATTATGTATTTGTGAAGATCACTTCAACGTGAGTTTGAAATTAGTATTTTTTTAATGTTTTCAACTTATTTTTCAGTTACCAGAAGATACTGAGAACTGGATATACTACAAAACACTGGGAAACCGTCTTATTACTAAAAAGCATGTCGTACCTCATATGAATCTGAAAGCCAACGTTGTTGCCCCTAGAGAGTCACAATTAAGTGACGAGGACAAGTTCCAAAAAAAAAACGTCCTAAATGAGTTACATGGACGAATAACAATTAGAAGAGAATTTGTTTGGATTCGCAGTAAGCAGAAATGTGATATGAAATTGGAAGAAGAAGAAAAAGCGACCGAAGAGAGCTGAAAAATGAAAACTAGGGAATTTACCAATATTTGGGAAACTTCCTTGAAATTTTATTATTATCACATAGTGAGCGGCAAAATTATAGAATAATCTTATTTATTAAAAATATTTTGTTTTGGAAAAATACTCGAGCAGGTCAATTTTCGTTTTAAAAAATACAAAATTTTTAACTTGATTTAAAATTGTATCTTTGTTTTTAATTGATATTATTTCACTTTTTGGATATTTTTTTTTAAACTATGTAATACATAATATTTTGGTGTTGCCATTTCGACAATTATCTATCGAATTCGCTAAAAAAATGGGAGTTTCCATTTAAAAAAAATGTCGCTGCCGTCAGTACAGTTGGAGACAAAATACTTTGGTCGTCACTTTTCTGACACTTGAATGTAATTCAAGCTTTAACGTTAAAATAAATCACAATTTCAAATTAATGACAACTATTCTATTTCCCTATCAAAAAGATGTACAAACAACTTGTCAACTATGATTGACAGTAGCTAAAAATAAGGCTAACAGTCCTAAAGTATGCTTTACAATTTAATGTCACTCAAGTGACATTGACGACCAAAGTATTTTGTTTCCGACTGTACCCAAAAACTGTAGAATTTTAAAACAAGTTGAAAATTGTGTATAAGGTGTTCTAGCGAGTTGGTAAAGTTCATTATTCAAAGAGATATAAACTTAATTTAATTAGATAYCTAAGATGTGGCCCAAAGAAAATTACAATTGATGATTTCTTTTTAAATTAGTAAAAACTAAGGAAGTATCGAGAGATCAAGATAATTTGTCCTTGTATCCGAAAAGTATGTCCTGTGCGTATGTCTGTGAAACGTCAAATAAAATGACAAGTGAAAAGGTAAAATTCCATGAAAAAAAAGATAACTAAATTTATGATTTACCTTCAAAAAAGAACGGTCTTATTATTATACATCGGCGACTAATTCCAGCCCATTTTGCCGTTTTCGACTTGTCATTTTATTTGACGTTTCACGTGCAGTTAGTTCAAAAACTACCTTTTACTGTCATCATGACTGACTGAATTAAATTTATTTTTATTTGTTGTTAAATTTGTTAATAAAACAATTTATCTGTCAGGAAATTTATTAAGATCTGCTGCCTACCCGTTATTATGCCACAAATCACTATTTTTGAAAGTAAATAAGTCAAAATGACATAATTATGACAAGAGTTAAAAATGAGGTTATTAATATAAAGGCTGTTTTAGAGTTTACATTATGAAAATGACAGTACTGCCCGAAATTTTAATTCCGAACTGTACGTTTTCGGATCCAAAAATGATCACAAATTATTTTGATCTCTCGGTATATGATTTGTATTAATAAGTGTGATTTAAAAAGAATTCTAATGTTTTTATTTAAAAAACTTTAGGTCATACGGTTTTTATATTTAAATTTAAATAAAAAATTGAAGCTTTTGGTGGCAAGTTTGGGGGGGGGGGCTGGTCCCCTCCGCTGGATCCGCCCTTGATCACATACCATGTATGTATTAAAAAAGGAAGCTGTTTAATTTGGATTACAATTTAGTTTAACATTTTCGTATATTTTGCCAACTGTACGTACATTTCTATTAAATATGTATTTTTCAAATGATTGCTGTGAACTATTCTGTTGTGTGCTCTCCTTTCCTGGCGTTCGAAATTCTTTTTTATTTCAACTTTTCCGCTGCTGTCTTAGTTAAATCAAAAAAAAATCAACAAGGAATAAATTTGTAATGGTTTTACTACCATAAATGTACAGTTGGAGACAAAATACTTTAGTCGTCAATGTCACTTGAGTGACATTAAATTGTAAAGCAAACTTTAGGACTGTTAACCTTATTTTTAGCTACTGTCAATCATAGTTGACAAGTTGTATGTACATATTTTTGATAGGAAAATATAATAGCTGTCATTAATTTGAAATTGTCATTCATTTTAACGTTAAAGCTTGAATTACATTAAAGTGTCAGAAAAGTGACGACCAAAGTATTTTGTCTCCAACTTTATTATTAAAAAATCTGTTGTGAACATCACACGACTTTCCTTATCCAACTTATTTGGAAAACATCCTTACGACAATAACTTACGTGTTGGAAATCCGAGTAATAGTAACCCTAACGTTTGCGTTAGTGCCACCTGCCAGATTGCACGCGAAATAAGTAAGATATATTTCATGATTCTAAATAATTTTTATCCCCATGAATTTACTGTATCTTCCAACCGTATAATTTTGCGACCGCTTTACAACCAACTTTTGGTTTTTGCGGCCGAACGGTGTGACCGATTTTCACCAATTGTTTCGTGCTGCGCCCCCTTCCTACACGTAACTTGCATACCAAATTTCAAGTTCTAACTTTTATCGTTCTCGAGATATGCTGTTTGCAGACAGACACACACACACACGACCCAATGGCGCAAACCAATTTTTTTGGTGTCTTGAAGCTATAATTCGTCCAGAAATGTAAAAATTTTGGTAGGTCAAATTTCAGCCGATTTCAATACTTTCCTTATAGGATAAGGAAAGTGAAAAAAGAAACTTGTAAATTTAAGTTCATTACTATTAAATTTTTATTTTTTATATAGGTACATTTTTATGCAAAACAAATAAATGGTTTAGTCTTGGTGGCCTTGGTTGGGAATCCGCTGAGATCTTCTTTCCAGTGTTAAAAAAGAAAACAATGAAATTAAAAAAATCGGTCTTTATTATATGAAATTAAAGCACACTTGGTACATAAATTTCCATCACTAATTTATTCAATGCTAGCTTGCTTTGTAAAAAAAATACGTCATTAATTAACATGATAAATTCATCTGAAAACTGAATTATAATTGCGCCGGTATGAGAAAGAAAAACAAAGTACGATTTCTCATGCCGATGCACTTACTATAACGCAAATGTAAAAAACAAACGATGGCACTTGCAGTGCTTGATAAAGGTATTAAAGAAATCTGGATGAAAATTAAGACTTAAATATTTTATTTTTATAAATTTTTCATCATATTTTTGGTATCAACTGATTGGAAAATACAATGTTTCGTACTTGCACAGTACATAATAAATGCCATAAAAATAAGCATAGAAAAAGAATACTCCTCCAATCATGTCGGATCTTCTCTTGGGGACATCTTTCACCCTATCACATACAAACTAATGACATTCATTCTGGCGTTACGAGCCCTTCTGATATAAGTTTTGTAATGACTCGCCTTTTGAAACAACCCTGAGTGTTGGAAGATGATGCGAAATTTTTGGCCATCGAATTTTCTCACTGGGATCGGCCGAAAATTAAGCATCTTACTATCGTAGCGTCCCACGTTTTTAAATGAATACCAGAAACTACCCTTGAGCATTACAAAATCTTTTAAAAAATATCCGAACTTACAATAGGACTCTTAAAATACAATGGACTGTCAGTACAATGGTGGGACGGCCGTCCCTCGAATTTAATGTTCTGTATCTTACCGAACATAAAGCAGGTACGCTGTCTACAGTCTATCGTGCGCTACTTCGCACGCTTAGATGCTTATTTAATTATCACAATGCAGACTGACCGCAATCAGTCCACCTCAACACATACAAAAAAAAAAGAAAAAAAAAATTAGAAAACAATCTCCAAAAGACTAACACTAGGCCGGAGACGCCAGAACTGCTTCAAGACATCCTGGGTATTCGTATACCCAGATGACACCTTGACACAGTCGACTGATTTAAACAGACAACTGGGTTAACACCCACGCAAGATAAACAAAAAAATATTCTGATAAAACCAATGACAAAAAAAAATTTGCTTGAAAAGTATAACAAACACGCGTGCGCCTCCTGCGCATGCACTTTTTCTCTTTTTTTTTCCTTATTTTGTAAAAAAATATTGGAGATGCTTGCGCAACGTCTTCAACCGCTTGGACTGGGAATGGCGGGGGCCGGAGTGGGCAACAAGAACTGGCAGGATCGACCCTTGATCCGCCTCTGCATTAAGTTGCTCTCGCTAGGCGGACTCAAGCCAAACACCTGCAACAAACGAAATTTCTTAAAACGAAGTCAAAGCGAGCATTAAAATTAGCAAATTCAAACCCTGACATAATTTTCAATATCAATTTCATTTCTTTTTTGTATTAATCTTTAGTTTTTTTTTTTTTAAGTAAAGTCTGAAATCACATCTGTAGTCTAAATTGGCAACAGTTTTAGAACGCTAACTTTTCTGTCAGTATCAAAGACGCAACTAAACAAGATCACTTGAAGGATAAATTTGATTTGTCCATAATATTTTGAAAAACGTATTGGCAACACTGAATTATTGATAATCCTTATAATTTGTTATATCAGAATATTTCAGGTGACGGCTAAATCAGCAGTCGCCAGTCTTTAATGAATGACAATTGCCTATAAAAATTTGACATTTGAATTTGGCAAGGTTGCCAAACTAAAATTTTAAATTTGACACCAAGTTGGGGTAAACAAACACAATCATTTACAGTCACCCGGTACTATTTTTACACTGGGAGAAGACATGCGACAAATATAGAACGTACCGCATTAAGAATGTGACACTTTCTATCTCCTTTTAGCTAACCAGAATAACAAAGACAAGGCTTGTTCGTTAAGTCTTTTTCATATTAATGTGCATCAAGAAGGTTGAAGAAGTCTAAATAAACCTTTAATTTAAAGGCCAATTTACACAAAAAGTGTCATTAATTTCATTCAGAACAAATTTAATCACATCAATAATGACAAAAATCTTTATTTACTATCTTATGTTAATTACGTTGTTAATTTTAATTATTTTTTGTTACATGGGGTACACATAAGGTACACATTTATTTGAAAAAATAATTATTAGGGAAGACTGAGCTTAGGATTGTTTGAATTTTCATGGCATGGTTGCCACCTTAAAATGATCCCTTTCAACGAGTACTTCGATGCACAGTAATATGAAAACAAGTTTTCAAATGTTTCTTCGTAGAGACGTTGCTGCCAACATTTGAAATAAGAAAGTCGGAAGCGCATATCAGCTATCATAAAGAGAAGTATTAAGAAAAATCTTCACAAATTTGGTTGTTAATTCCTGAAAAATGTTTGCAGTTTTATTTGCTGTACGTCGTAGATTGGATCTTACTCCAAAAGTTTCATGGCAAATCGAGATAAGTTGATGAAATGTAGTCTGTGACATAAAAATGTAAAACGGGCCTTAGGCAACTAACCTCACTTTAGGTTTTTGTAATTTTTATCCTGACAACTAGAGAAAAAATGACAACACATCAAAATAATTGATTGAACTTATATAAAAACACGTATTGTTTTGAAAAATCGACACCAAAAATAAATTGTCATTAAAACTTTCAAATTTTAGTTCCAAACGTCAATCATAATGACGATAAAGCCTGACATTGACATTTTATGAACTGACATAAATTTGAATTTAAATAACAATAATTGACTATAAAATTGACATTTGAATTCGATAGTCAATGTTGACAAAATAAAGATTTCAAATTTGTTGCCAAACTGCCGACAAAAAACACAATCATGACAGTCTTTCGGAACTTTCCGATCGAAGTGTCCCATGACTTTGAAATAAAGTTGCTAACGTAACTCTCAAATTCAAACGTCACACTTTAATAGTCAACTCTCATTCACATCCGTTGGCATGGCCGTCACTTGACACAATCTGATATCACCTCTAATACGGTGTTGCCAACTTAATTTAATTTTAAAAGTCATAAGTCACTTTGATCTGAAATTTACTGAAAGAATGGTAAAATGTTAACTTGTAACATAGGAGTAACTAAATTTAAAACAGACACTTTACGTAGATTTAGACACAGAATTGTTTTCTTGGTTTAGTGTTTACTATGAATATGTAATTTTTGGACTAATATTTTTACTTTATGATTTGAATATCTTTGTAAAAACTCACTTTTGTGTGGTAAGGCGCCGCATTCTCGTCAATCGGATACACGTTCGGCCTCTCCAGGTAGTCCAGCTTCATACTGAAGTGTTGCTGCACCACCCTGTTCACAGCCATAGCGCTCTCCGCGAACTGTGATAGCTCCCTCGCGGAATTGTTCTTCTTGATGACTGCGGGCGTAGTCAAAGTCGCCGATTCGCTTGCGCATTTCAACCAAGGATGTTGGAGCACTTCCTCGGCTCTGATGCGTTCGCTGGCGTTTTTCACCAGCAAGGATGAAATCAGATCCTTTGCCTCGTCCGATATGTTTGCCCATTCAGCCTCAGGGAAGTCGTATCGGCCCTCTTGAATACTGTGGAAGAGTAGATCCTGGCAAGCATTGCAGTTGTCACCTCGTTCCCAGCCGCAGTCACGGCCGCACTTGCCGTAAAATGGCGGATAACCGCACAAAAGGATGTAAGTTATGACGCCGAGCGACCATAAATCGCAGCGTTTATCGTACGCGACAGAGTCCGACTCGCCGATGAAGGCTTCCACAACTTCGGGGGCCATGAATTCGGCGCTGCCCACCTGTGTATTTCAACGATATTTATTTAAAACAATGTTTTTTTGTTCAAAACATACCGGAGTCAATAGTTGTGGAGTGGCCAGCGGACTCGAAACGCTGGTTTGGAAGCGTATACCGGATCCCAAATCCAAATCACAAATCTTAATTGGACATATAGTATCCTTATTCACACACAAGATGTTTTCAGGTTTGAGATCACGATGGGCTATGCCTTTGGCATGCATGAATTGCAACGCTGAAGCTACTTCTCGAACGATTTCAGCTGCTGCAGCTTCGCTGAAATATCTATTCTCCTGAATCCTCCTCAACAGCTGGCCTCCATTTATCTGGAATTAGCAATGGGTTAAATTCAATAAACAAATTCAGTGATAAACAAGCTACAATTATACAACTTTATGACTTGACAGTCCTCGTTTTAGAACAAAACTTCCACATTTTTTAATAGAGCTACTAGTCACACAATGTTTACAAGATTTTAAAATTAAGATAAAAAAGTACGGTTTTCCTTCTCCATTTTTTATTCGTTACTTCTAGTTTCACTTGTCCTAATCTGAACAACAATTTTTAAAGTGGTTTTTAAAGTGTTTGACTTTTGTTACAACCTTCGATTTTACAGCCTCGTGGAGAGAACTCTATTTAATTGCTGATTTTCTCGTGGATGCTTCGATTTTCTTTTCTTTACTTTTTTGTTTGTTTAATAAGAAACCCGGTAGAGTTTAAGTCTCCCAATCAAAAATGCTTTATAGCTAGATAGTTATACAGGGTGATTTTTTAAAAACGGCAGACGTGTAGAAATTTTTCTTATGGCCCGATTTCAAAAATTTAAAAAGTAAATTACATGGCTTTTAATAGTAATAATAATGTATAGCTGACAATTTTAGAATTTTTCTAAATATCAGTATATTTTTCTAATTTTAAATAGACACCACATTTTTTTCATAATTTGTAAGATATTAGTTTTCTCGGTACAGACACGTGCAATATGTTCTACTTTTACTAAAAATTATTGCGAAAAAATTAATAAAAGTTAACAAAATCTAGTTGCACGGTGTCAATATAAAATTGACGTTAACAATAATCTTATTAAGAGTAAACAAAATAAATAATAAAACACTTAAGGCCGGTTTTTCAATCGTTGGTTAACCTCTAGTTAGTAGGTTTTTATGGAAATTTTTGCAATTTATCCAATCAAAATGCTGCATTTTTAGTTTAACTTTAACTTAACTTTAACTTTAATTTTTAGTTTAACCAACGATTGACAAACCGGCCCTTAATTAGATGTTTTTCTAATTTTTTATAGATAATTATTGTCATTTCTTATTAAAAATTTGAAAAAAATATCGGTATATTTTCTTTCATTGGTGCTTTTTGACATTACAATAATGGCATTGCTATATTTGACACCTTGCATTTTGTTGACTTTTATTTTTTTTTAAACTTTGATAATTTTTTAAAACAATTTCTAGTAAAAGTGAAACATCGGACATGTCTGCACCAAGAAAACTAATTAATACCTTCCAAATTATGAAGAAAAATACAAGTTAAAATTAGAAAGTAGAATATAGCCCAAAATATACGACACTTAAAAAAAGGCTAAAATTTTAAATAAAAATTCTACAGTACATGCCTGTTGTTTTTAAAAATCACCCTGCATATAAAGTATAAATGTGTGTAAGTTTTCTAATTTAAAAAGTTCTATCATTACTTTTTTGTACATAGTTCGTTCAAGCAATTTAATGAAAAAGTTTTTTACTTTTGTAAACATTAAAAAAAAGTTAGAAGAAAATCTTTTAAGTCGTTCTTAAATTGTTATTGTTTTAAAAGTTACATTTCATACCTTCTCAAAAACCAAATAAAACTTTTCTTCATCCTCGAAAAACTCAGTGAGCTGAATGATATTGGGGTGGCCTTGGCAATGATGGAAAGTTTCGACTTCTCTAAACACGCGAGCCCTGGCATGGCCCGGTACTTTATCGATGATTTTGACTGCATATTCTTGATCGGTGTAAATATTAATACAGGTCTGAACACTGGCATAGGCCCCCTCACCCAAGATTTCGCCAGAGAGTTTGTACAAATCTATAACAAAAACCGTTAAATTACAAAAAAGCCAAATATTATGAACAATAAAAAAAGTTCTTTCAAGGTAATTTTCCACAATTTTTATCAAATTTACAAAATATTTGCAAAGTGATAAAGTGACTTACTAAAGAAATTAGTGCGTGAACATTTGATGCTCTGACGTACATTTAAGACTGCTTATGAAGCAATTATTTATCAAATCAACAGAATACGGAATTTGTTGTGATTGCAAAATTTATCAAGTCCAGTTTACTGGTTATTGTGATGATTAGAAAATGGAGTTAATAAATAGATCCGCTTAATAAGAGGTAAACAATCTCAAATGTCAAATAACACCCGGCGGGATTTTTTGAAGGTTGTTAAATGCTTTTGTAAACAAATAAGTTATCTACGCTTTTTCCATTTTCTACATCATTTTAGTACTAATTCTAGTTCATCTATCATAAATCTCAAATCAAGTTACGATCCAAGTTTGTTTCACAACAATAGTCGCTAAAATTATCTACAATACGCTTTGCTGGCAACGGCCCCCAACCAACAACAAATAACACCTCTTGTTTACCTTCGTACATCACGTGGCAAATGTAACTTTTGTGTACTCAGCAATAAACAACTGCGGTTAGAAACTTGATTGAGAAAAAATGACATTTTTCATGTTTCATCGCCCCAACTTACATATTTCTAACAACAGTGACTATGCAACAAGGAAATAATAAAAGATTCATAAAAACACCCGTTCGCTCACCGACCTCATTAACATTTCCCCGTTTGATTATTCAAGGCCTATATTATTTCCAGTTGGCGATTGTGATGCTTCAGCAACAACGTGAGTTAAGTAAAAAAAAAATACTGTGATTAATTTTTGAATGCTTGCCTTGGAAACACGATGAAACTAGCGACGAGCCGGTGCGTTTCTTCTTGCGGCGTTTCCTCTTGGCCTCCTCCTTGCGATGGGCTAGTTCTTTGGCTCGGGCATCGGCGTCCATCTGGTCGCCACTATCAGAGGCGGAACCTCCACCGCCCCTGCAGCCCCCGATCCTGTCGCCATTGGTAACGTCGCCATTGCATTCTGAAACAAATCGCATTCATTATTTTCAGGTTTCGAGATGCAGTTGAATTATTGAATAAGTCAGCGGGCCTGTTATAACGGAGGCCTCACCTAGGACGTCGACCCGTTGCGACACTTCTCAATCTTGTACAGAAAAATATCAAGAAACAGGACAATTTAATTTTTGAAATCGAAAACAACCACATTCCGGAAATTTATAAACAAAAACATTGAACTAAGCTATTTTTCGACAAATTTAGAAACATGCTGGCATACGGCCAACTTCTGCACGTAGATACAAGCTTTTTACACGTGATTTGACGATTAAACAAACATACATCTCGTTTATTGAATAGTTAATAACCAAAAATGGAATTGACGTCATAAAAACAATATTTTATTTGCATTTGAATGTATTGTAATATACGAGTCAACTCTTTTGATAGCCTCAGCATGTATCGTCATCATCGAGGCAACTTTCTATTTAGTGTGGGAGCCATGAATACATACATACACTACACCAACCTAAAACCTGCTTCAATTAATTTTAGATTAACAGAAAGTGGAACAAGACTCAAGGGTTTACTTCCCGGTGTTGGGTTAATCTTAAATACGACGATAAGGTGACAAATACTCTACTTAAAGAACATGAATTCATTAAAAGTTCACCAACAACAAGAAGTTTCTTTTACTGCTAAGCATATGTTTGATTTTGTGAAAATTGTAAGTGTACTCGTACCTTTTATGTAAAATAATATGCAAGAAAACAATGTTTTAATTGGGTTCAATCAGATGTTTCTGTCTAGATGAAAAGTTAGTTGTTTTTTAAGTTTTTTCCAAGTTGGACTAATTAATAAAATCAAACATTATTGTAATCATAATTTTACATGTGGACGAGAAGAATACGGAAAAAATTTAAAAATATAGTAGTTGAATACAATAAAGTTGAGTAAATAAAGCAACATACAAAGAAACTTTAAAAAAAGTAAGGAAATAGTTATTTTTGTTACAAGTGCCGAAAATACAGTTTTTAGGTACGTGTCACAAACAACATTTTTCTGTTAAAGTTCCCAAAAAACGAATTCACACCTCATATTAACTAAAAAAAATTCGCCACCATAGTAACCAAATTGAGATTTTCATCCGGCAAAACTGTATTTTGGGAATTGATTACCTAAAATAACCATTTTAGGTATCTACTATTTTAATGAGTCCTGAAAAGACTCATTTTAGAGGCTCAAATGAGTCCCTAAAACAGCTATTTTTGAGAAGGTGTACAAAAATGTATAAATAAATAGAAAATTAAATAAAACTTTAAAAAACGATTCAAACTGGCAGATGAAATTCCAATTTTTTAGTCTTTTAATAATAATTTGTGTGTAACAAGAAAAATACATATAAAAGAAGTATTATATTTATTATTTTTCTGTAATTTTTAGTTCCCGTATCTTAATTCAAAAAAAAAAAATAATAATTTTCGTTAAATTAATTTACACCGAATGCTGCCTATATTCAGTTAATTCATCATCATATTCGTTAAGTTTTGGTTCGATTTTATGCAACTTTCAACTTGATTTTGCTATTTTGCAGTGCGTGTTCAAAAAATATAGCTCAATTGGACATTTTCCAGATTAAGTCAAGACGAACGAAGCACATTGTAAAAAAATATAGCATAGGTCAACTTAAAAATCCCATAAATAAAATTTTGGTAGACCACAAAGCCTTAAAAAACAATATTTCTCCTAATTTAGGAAAAAAATATATTACGTATTCGTTGTATAAGCAGTGTATATCATTATGAACTTTTAAAATTAGCAATTAAATTTTGAATTACTTTATGACATAACTCATTTCTTAAAGTCGATTTCTTAAATTTGTTACATATGATAAATATTACACATAACCACAATTTTTTATACGCCTAAAATGACAAATACTTCGATAATACGAGTACAATAACTTCGAGTCCCATAATAATTTTTTTGCCCCCTATTGTAATCTATTAACAGACAATAATTAATTATTATTATATACCAGGTGAATAAAAAGTATGGAACCAAATGTTTTTTGCTTAAACTATTTATTTTTTGAAAAAACTAATTGATGAGTGATAAAGTCTATATGTTTTAACAAGAATATAATTTTTCAAAATTTCCTTTTGTATTT